ACTTTAAATTGAATAGATATTTTGTATATTGCAAACTGAACCATCTAGGAATTATGTGAGAAAGCGTTTTGAGAATGTAAATTGTTGTCATGTGCTGAGTGAGTTACCTCTTCCTTTTACATAAAGATTATCAACAGACTAAGACAACTATACGAGAAAATTCATATTTTCCAATATCCTCTGTTATGTTTTGAAGATATCTTTTAAATGTTTTTCCTGCATTCTTATATTCAGAAAGAAAATGAATTATAAATTACAGATTCAAAATATATGCTTGCATTTGTGTTCAACTGTTTCAGTATTCACGAATCAACAACTCTAATAGAATACTAAATTGAAATGTTTAACAGCATGTTCTGAACATCGTATCTGGTTCTGTAGATTTTTCATTTTTCTATGGAAAAATGATTTGCATTTGATTCCCAAAGTATTTTTTCATGTCATGATGACTTAAAGAAGCTTTAATGCTGCCCAAGTAAAGACATGTAGAACCTATTAATAACTTACGGTCAGAAGTAGTTTTGCAAGGCTATCTGTCACATACCTTCGAACAGATAGTGCTAATTTCAAACCCATGACTGTTCCTTTTACCTCTCACACTTTTCAGGCGATAGACTATATGTTCTGCAAATTGTGTAGTATAAATTAATTAAGCTTGGCTTCCATTTTTATATTTTAAGTTCTGTTTCAGGGAAGAATGCAGAATGTTTTATGCTATTTTTGCATTAAAAAAAACAAAAACAAATGGACAACACTTAAAAGTTTTGCTAATTGTTGAATTTAATGCTCCATTAAGATGCTCAGCTCTTGTTGTTTTTACTTATTAATAAGAGTACAGTAAAGAAAATATATTTCAATATAAAGTGAATGAGATCAGTTGGATGAGACAGACGCAAGTTCAGATCTTTATCATTTTCTTTCAATTAGATGGACCCTGGTCTGGAGATGTACAGACAGGAACTTGTGGTGGAATCTGGACGAAAACTTGACAAAGCCAGAATGATTCGGTTTGAAGAGAGAACAGGATACTATTACTCAACCGATTTAGGCAGGACTGCCAGTCACTTCTATATTAAATACAACACCATTGAGGTAAAGAGCTTGAATTTATTTTTCTCAGCTCAGCCTCTTATGTTTGTACAGGCATTGCTTTGTTTATTTTAGGAAAACATATGGTGTAACAAATTGCTCAGCATAAACTGCTTCAGGCATTTTCTGCTACTCATTAACTTTAGGGATCAGTTGTTTTAGAGAACATACCTGCATTCACTTTGCTTTACTTCTGTCCTAGTTAACCAAAAAGAAAGTGAATCCAGTTGTATCAAGAAATGTATTTCTTAGGATGCCTGTGAACCTTTTGTGATAAAAAGGCTGAATATCATACTGCCAGCCTGTTTACATCTTGACAAACAACAAATAAAACTTGTCTTAATGTTATTTATTTCTTTCAAAGACATTCAATGAATTGTTTGATGCCCACAAAACAGAGGCTGATATTCTGAGTATTGTGTCTAAGGCAGAAGAATTTGACCAGGTCAAGGTAAGTGCAGTATTGATTATTATCTGAAAGGTAATTTAAGGGATCAAGTAGAAACATCAGAAAACCCAAAGAACTATAAAAAATCCATCACCTAAGCCTTTTCTTTTGATTCTTTTATTCATTATATACTATATTCTTTTATGCAAATAGGTAATGAATTGGCTGTTAAATAGACAGAAGATGTGAAGGTTCAGTTCACCTGCACAGCAGTGTGGAAAGGTTTTCTTACTGAGCTCAAACACTGTGCCAGTATTTTCTCCTTGCAGTAGCAGTAATACCTCACTCTAAAATGTTCATTATTAGCCAGCTCTAAGAAGCTCATGATTAATGCAGAAGTTAGAACTGTGATGTTTGTATTTCTTTATAAGTAACCAATGAAGTTTAATTCATTCCTGAATTCTCTATTGTGTAACCCTTTACAAGGTTGCAAATACCTTAATATGTGTTTGGTAATAAAGAGGTTAAAAGGGACCTAGTGTCACACCAAGTGTAGTTTTGTTTACTTTTCCACTGTAAAGGACATAAACAGTTTTCCCCAAGTTTTGTCTCCATGATCTTAAGGTTAGATTAGAATAATAAAATATCTTTCATTTAATATTTTTCAGGACCATGAACAAACCATTGTTTGTATGATGGCAATACAATAACTTAAAATGTAATTTCCATTGCTTCTACAGGGAATCAAAAATTAAGCAAACAAATAATTAAGCATATGTGGTGATTAATATTAGCAGGCTTCTTAGCAGTTACATACACAGTTACATACACTGTGGAAGCTTCTAAAAGAGTCTTATTCTGTTTTGATTTTGTATTTCTTTTTAACTGAAATAAACTCTTAACAGGGTGAAAATGCTTTTACCACTTTCAGATTTGGTTAGTAAAAAGCAGTCATTTACATCATGGGGACATCCCTATTTTTATCTTTAGAGTTGCCATCATTGTGGGGATATTTTTCTCAAATTGTGTAACAGTAAATACTCATACCGGCATACTCTTAATGGCATAACCTCCCTGGTATTCAATTAATCACAAACTTTTATCTAATGTACAAACATGGCTAATAACTTCAAAAAGTTTCAAAATGTTGATGGTTTTTGTTGATTTCATTGCTTTTAAGGTCAGAGATGAAGAAATCGAAGAACTGGAGCAGTTGCTCCACAATTATTGTGAGCTGCCTGCTGCTGGTGGGGTTGAAAACGGCTACGGAAAAATCAACATTCTTCTTCAGACGTACATTGGGCGTGGAGAGGTGGACAGTTTCTCGCTTATCTCGGACCTCTCATACGTAGCTCAGGTAAAAAGTGGGACCAACACATTTATATCCTGTTAGAAAGAACTAAAAACAAAGTGGGTTATTAGATTTGGTTGAATTTCTTTATGTTGTGTCTGTTTTAGTCCTTTGTGATTCATGTAGGTATCATGCAGTAAGATCAATTAACAATGAGTGTTCTCTGATTACATGATCATTCTGAATCCTCTTTCTTCTTTCAGGGCGTTTCGATTTCTTGTAACTTATTCACATGTGTTGTAGATGTAGTAGTAGAAATGTGTAGTAGAAATTTCTAGTTTTTCAGCTAAGCTTATGCGTTTGACACATTTAAGATTTGTAGGAAATGAACAGCTAACACACTGCTTACATTTCAGAACACCCCCCCCACACACACACAACACCTCAACAAGAAAAATTCTAAGTTAATCTCAGTTTTTACTTTTGCTCAATATTGTAACATTAGCTGTTAAAACTGTATTAAAATATTGTTACATTGGACCTACAATTACGTGGTTGGATGCCTCTTAATTTAAGTATGGAGAAGTATATATTTACTGTGTTGCCTCTTATACTAAGTGAGGTAATTTACCATACATTATCGAGACCCAGCCAGTTACAAGCAGCTTTAACCACACGTGCCAGAAAACTGCAATGAAAAGCCAACGAAGTACTGGAAGGAGGGCCAGAAGATGGGCCTTTCATGTCTGGCAGCAGAGAGAGATGATCAAAAGAAGCCATCTGGACAAGATGGATAAATAATTTATTTACATTTTATCTATCACTAAAACCTTTGTTAATGAAATACCATATCCGAAGAGAATTAAACAACACAGTTACTGTTCTTTCAGCTTTGATATTGAGAAACAGAAAAGCCTGTAAATATGGAGCTCTTCGACCGCTCTTTTGGGTTATTCTTGGGATACCAGCATTTCCAGATGGATTGCATGTGTGCTAGCTGTGACACTGTTGGTGACGCCACGTGGACCAGCTGAGCCCAGTAAAGACAGCATGGAAAGATACTGCCTTAGAGAGCTACATTGAGGCACTTGGAGTCTAGTTTGCACAGCTTACAAGCAAGAGAAGTCCATTTGGCCCACTTTGCTTATTTTTTATAAAAAGGTAGAACCATTGAAAGAAAAAGAGGCATTGATTTTTTTTCAGTGGTGATAGAAAACACAGACCTTTTTCAGACTTGTACTTGAGGTTAAAGCATATTTTCAGAAGGACACCAAGAATGAAAATTCTAATTAAAGCAATGTGGAACCTATTCATGCTGTTTCAGCACGACAGTGTGAGAAATCATCTTATTTTTACTCACATTATTTATTTTTAATCTGTTTTTGGTTTTAACCACTTGTCTCAGATGAGGCACTGACAATCTAGATTGAAATTTTGTCTGACAGATTGTTTCCCCTTTTCACATGAAAGAGGCTTTTCTTTCTGATTGACAAATGAAGTCAATGGGACCAATTAAATAAGACACCGTAGCCTCCCCTGTTATTGGATCCCCCTGTTGTGAAAATTGTCCAGTGGGAGGAATATATATATATAGTTTATACCTGTTTATAGAGAGATGTCATGATTATTTACATTATTGTTTTTGTGTTGTATAAATAAAATGAGAAGGTAAGATACAGTATTAAATAATCAAAAGTAGGACTGAGAGTCCCAACACTTTGAATGTCTTAAAAAGAGTTTATAATAAAACTTTATCAGTATCGGTATTTTATATGTAGTGTATATATATATACTGATATATTTAGTATTTACAGTATATTAACAATTATTATTATTGCTGCTGTTGTTGTTTTTTATGATGATGCTATAAAGCAGTAATCAGTGGGATGCTTTTATGACCATTGCAATGTCTTGTAAACTTTTTTTTAATCTTTCATATTTTTTCCTGTGATTTCCTGTGATATGTTAAAACTGGATCTCTTTCCCATTTGTTGTCATGACACATTCATACATTTACTATATAATATGCTATCTTGTTTAATTTAATTACATTACATTCAAATTCTTCATCAACTGCACTACAGTAGAAGGTAAAATTGAAAATGAAAGATTTTTAAAAGGCTTCCCTTGTCTAGGAGTGAGTTATAAGATTTTATGCAGAAAGGTTCATAACCTCCATGCTGGTATGAACTGTTGGATCACATCCACTTTGTAGGGCAAATAATGTTTCACTGATCAATGCCACTAAAACTGTAGACAAAAGGTGTACAGGTGCTGTAAAGATGTTTAGTTTTCATAGGGTCAAAACCAATAACAATGTCTCTGATCAGGGTCATACTTCAACCACTAGATCACTACAGAGGATTTTCAGTGAGCTTCAAATGCACTCATTTCCATTAGTTTTTGGTGCCTTTAACAGTTGAATGCATCATTGGTGATTTCACTAAAAACTTTGCTACCCCTAAGTGAAAGGTAAAGCAAAATTAAAAATATTCATTTTAAGCAACTTCATTTTATATAGTTTACAGCTCAGAAGTCAGATTACTAGAAATAATTTACTAATGCATGTTCTGTTAGACAAATTCCTTGCTGGAGATTTATTATTGCATTTGACATGCATTTACATACATGCAAAAAATAATATGCTAAAGATTTGTTTTTTAGTTCAAAATGTATGGGTTGTAATGCACAGCTTGGTTTCTTTAAAATCTCAAAAATGCCAGCTTCATTTTTAGGTGATTTTATATTTGATTTTTAATAAGCACATTGAGCTTGCAACAATACTTCAAATGTATACATGCAAATTAATGTAGCTAGGTTTCATTTCCCATATTTTTCCCCAATTTGCAAAATTCAGTATGCTTCTAAACATATCTCCATATTGACTTGATTTAAATGATGAAGTGATTTTGTCATTAAATATTTGAAAACAACATTACCATCTGAAACATTGAGGAAATATTATTAAAGAAAGTGTAGCGCCTGTACATTGCTCCAAATTATCATAATTTATTTCAGGTGTCATCTCAAAATATTGTATGTAGTATTTTTTTTAGATTGAATTACCCAAGAACAACTACTGTTTCTAGGCAAAAGTCAATACAGTGCTGCTAACTATGAGAGTGATTTTTAAAGATGAAATTATGCAGTTGTATGTCATATGTTGTTTTCATTTATGTAGGTAAATAACTTCCTTTGTAATGCTTGCACATTTCAATACATTTAATAATACATACAATAACATCCACATTTTAATGTTTTTTTTTTGTTCTACTAAGGTGAAGGCCTCAGGTCATCATTGTAAATTTGAATTTATTCTCAATTGACCTGGTTAAATTATTTTAAATGGTACTAATGTTAATCTAGAATGAAAATTCAGGCGTACAGTAAACATTCTTAACAGAAACTATTCAAAATCGAAAACTTATGATTGTCAATATTGTATAAACATCATCTGTCTGTAACAAACATATACGGTACATACTGTATATATTTCTAAACATATTCATATTTATTCATTCCCCATCAGTCATCCTCTTTTGTATTTGTTAACCTTGAGAAATCATCTCCTGTAGTCTTTCAATAGGTTCTCAAATGACTCATGGGAGATATTTGATCATTACTCTGGTAGACGCTCTCAAGCTCCTTCAGGCCCCTCCAGGGTTTTGATCTGATCTGCTATCTTCAGCTAAATGTTTGACTTCTAGCTGTGATAGTCTATCAAAAACACAGATTGATTATGTTTTCTTGAAGTTTTGCCCAAGGTGTTTGATGCTTGCTATTTTGTTATTAACCTTTACCAATGTCCATTTGTGACCAGGCTTAAGAAAAAAAGGCAACAATCTTTGGCTAAAGTATGATGGTAAACTTTTAATCAGTCTCCCTCAATTAAAACAAGCACCCCAGGACCTGATTTTTTATTCTTTACAGAAAGGATTTTTCACATTTCGGTGTTCATTATGAAGTCACCCTTGAATGGCAGTCTTGAGGATCTTGTCTTCTTATGAGTATTTACTATTTCTAATTGATACTCTTGAGTGTCAATCATTGTTCAAAGCCATTTTCTGATCTCCCCCTCCCCCTGAAACTCTTGCTGAAACTGTGATATGTCCTTTCTTAGGTACCATTTGATTTAATTAGGCCAATACGATTTCACCTTAGTTCAGTTCTCTCTTCTGCTGCCTTGATGTACAGAGACATTCAAGGTTACTTCCAGTTGGTAGCATCTGTAACTGTTTAGAGGCTTTGTGAAACTGCCATGTGACTAAACAATATTAGCAGATAAAATGTACATAATTTATTTTAAACATATTTACAAGTTACGGTAAATTCCTCCCCTCCAATACAGTTTCGCCACAACACGTCAAAAAGAAATACAGCTAAAGCTTCTTTAAACTCAAATGTTTCATTACCCACTGATACCTGAAATGGCTTTGCAAAATCTAGTTGTATTTCTCATTACTGTTGTCTCCAGACACCTTTTCCAGGAAGCACTGTGACATTCCCAGCATTCCAGTCTACGCTTACGCTAATTTTGTTTTCCTGCCGTGCATGGAATTGTGTTTTTACAATTTGTCTGTGTGTCATCCCTGCATTACATCTGCTAAACATAAAGTGTCAACCAGTTATGAAGTTGAAAGTAAAAAAATAGATTTTAATAGAAAAAAGTACAGTTTTAGATAGGCTGCGTGCTGGAGCCTGCATTTTCACTAGAAGCAAGTGAGCAGATAAATGAGTTAATGCATTTATTGATGTTTCATCTTTGTGATGAAGTGTATAAAACACAAAGGATGGTTATTTTTTTCATAATAATGCACTATTTACATACATTCTATTCATTTTTTTGCCATCAGTAGGTAAATAAAATAAATGCTCAAATTAGTCCTTACTATAATATTAAAAGTTTTTATGAGGAAATCAAAGCAGTCAAAATAATACACAGAATATGAAAATATATGTCCTGTCTAATCAACGTACACAATTTATGTAGTATCAGATCACAACAATTACAAATACAGCTACATGAGGGTGAGTAATACTGCTTTACACACGTTCCATTTCTATTGGGAGTTTGATTTATATAAAAAAATGTCCAGACTCCCAGAGTTCAGGTCCAGATTTGCAATGAAATGTCAGTGTGCTAATTATAAACCCTTAATGTTTTTCTTTCCCAATATGCAGAATGCAGCTCGAATTGTCCGAGCCCTTTTCGAAATTGCTCTGCGGAAACGATGGCCTGCTATGACGTACCGCCTGCTCAACCTCTGCAAGGTCATCGACAAGCGCCTGTGGGGCTGGGCCAACCCTCTGCGCCAGTTTCCTGCACTGCCAGGGTCCGTCCTCTCCAGGCTAGAGGAAAAGAAGCTCACCATAGACAAGCTGAAGGACATGAGAAAGGATGAAATAGGTATGCTTGTTTAGCACAAAAACGTAAATCAACAGGGTAAATCTAGAGTGCAACAAAGATTTGTGATGGGCATTAGTTTTGTAAACATAATACTATAGATGGTTTTGTATAGCTTCTTCTTTAATGTGAAATCATTATTGGTAGTACTGTATATTAAAGCTAAATATATATTTTTTTCTTTATGATTGATCAAATAATTTCAATGTTGCCCTTGAATTTATGTCATCAAAATGTACATACAGCCTTACCAAGATTATTAGACATTTACTGTAATTAGTTAATAAGCAGGTAATAAAATTCAATACAGATATTTCAATGGGATTTTTATTGATAGTAAACTCAAATTCAAATATCATATTTTATTACTTACATTATGCTATAGATTTTGTTCCTTTGAATGTTTCGTTTCATATTCTCACTAAATGTGCAATTAGAGTCCACAAGGAGACTGAGGAAACCAGCCTGCAGGTACTGTATCAGAGGATATATCAGAGGGTATTCGATCTGGTTTCTGGAGGACCCATGTGTCTGTAGGTTTTCTAGGTCTCTTTGAAACAGCAACACTTGAAGAGAAGGGCTTAATTAAGAAAACAATAGGCAGATTTAGGTTAGTAAGAGCAGACTGGAATAAATGAAATGACAAACATCCTCCAGGACAGCGACTGGATACCCTTGATGCATAGCAAGCTTCATAGAATGGTAATATGAAAAATGAAACAATGTCAGGCTTAGTTTCCCCAGATAGTTTGCAAAGATTTTAAAAGCTGATGATTCACAAACCCATGCCAAAATACTTCGCCTTCTAAATTTGATAGCTGTAGAATTTGATGGTTAGCAATAAAAAGTGAAACAACATATTAGGATATAGTGAAAAGTGGAGAATTTAAATCACGTGATGTTATGTTTTAAATGTCTAACACACTAGTAGGGCCTTATTAGAATGTTGTGTATAATTTTGGTCATCACATTAAAGCCAGTATGTTGCTGCTCAGGAATCAATCCAGAGTAGAGCTACCAGATACACAGAATGTCCTGCTCTGACAGGTTGCACTGAACCTTTTTAGTCTTGAACAGAGGACACTACCAGGGTTCCCGACACAAGTATTCAGAATCCTCAAAGGCATCAACACATTCCTTCAGAATAAGCAGTGGAACGCAAAGCATTTAAAACTGAGTTCAGGTGGCACATTTTTATGCAAGTGGTTGTGGAAGTACGGAAAGATACTCAGCCATGTTGATGAAGCCAACACTCTGATTTTCTTCAAGAAACAGCTGAAATGAAATCCTTACATCAGTGAGCTATTAACTACAGGCTAGATGGCCTAAATGGCCATCTCTTGTTTGTAACCATTCTTATCTTCTTGCTTAAAAAATAATAAATTATTATTATACACAATTTCTGAAACCTCTAATATAAAAGCATTGGGCAAGCAGTACAAGGAAGTGTGACATAGCTAACTTGACCTTGCATCTTATCTGCTGGGTATACAGCAAGTTTTCTTGGTTTCTGGACAGGTGATGTTTTCTCTTGATTAATATCTTTAATATTCACCTTAATTAAGTTTTTTGTTATTTACAGAATTATTATTTACAATCTATTATGTTAACAGATCGTTTCTAACATTCTGAAAGTAAAGTGATATGCCCTTTTCTTCTAGGTCACATGTTGCATCATGTGAATATCGGGTTAAAGGTCAAGCAGTGTGTCCATCAGATTCCTTCCATCATAATGGAAGCAAATATCCAACCAATCACTCGCACAGTGCTTAGAGTTAGACTTACCATAAACCCGGATTTCAAATGGAACGATCAGGTAAGTAGCTTCACAGTAAATTGTGCATATACTGTACTATACGATTAAAACCTTGTTTCCAAGATTATTGATTTTAAAATGGTGCATTACAAATGTGAATATGTTTTTGGTAATAGTGCTTATATTTTCCATTGTTATTTCAAAAAGCTTTTAAAGATTTGCTAAAAGTGCAAAAATATGTTCAGAGTCACAGTGGCATCCCTAAAAAGCATCACTGTATATTGTTAAAGTAAGAACTTGTATCTAGGCACAAGCATCCTCCAGATTTAATGTCTGGACTTTATTTGTGCTGTGAAGCATGCCCAAAAGTGATTAAATCACTAACTTAAATGTACTACTTGACAATCAACTTCTTTTCATAGTAGACTACATTTTTGTGCTGCTAAACAAGTGCTTAATAGTGAAAATTTCCTTGTTCTGTCAGGTCAGAAAAAAAAACGTCAGGTCAGATGAGAAGGGGATGCAATATTGAAAATTAATACTTTCTTTTTTTTCTATAATATATGTACACAGTCTGATGGATATGTTATACACATACAGAGAACAGATTTAGTTAGTTACCGTTAACATAGTGAAGTAAATAAATATTCAGAAATATTTAATATTTAAATAAAAACTGTTTGTCATACAGTATATGCAGTTTTTATGTTCCTGTAATGTAGTTAAGAAGGTATGTGACAACTTCAGACTCTTTTTTTCAGGAATGTTTAGTCATTAGATTAATGTTAGTGAAAATCATTTCAAATAAGAGTCTGTTCATATGTGCACCAGGTGAATATTATTTAACCTGAAGTCTCACAGCAGACTGTGTGACGTATGAGACATTATAATGTGACAACTATGTGACAGAACAAGTAATAGGTTTATTCCATGCTGAAAAGAAGAAGAAAGAAAACACAATGTTTCGACCGTGGAGCCTTCTTCAGGTGTGAGTCTACTGACTTAGACTAGTCCCTCATACAAGGACTATTTTTCATCAAGTTAGTAACTTCAATGTATTATGGAGTAAGAAACAAAGCAGCATGCAGAGGCAGTTTTTGAATCAGATTTCTTTTAATATTACTGTATGTTGTATTATTAAGCATACCAATACGTAATTCTATTTCATGAAGTTTATTTCCCTATCTTGAGTGCAGCCAAGATCCCCGTTATGCGCGGAGGCATATTCGTTACAATATTTATCATTATTAATATAATTAAAATCAGTGTTGTAACATATCTTTGACTACATTATCAGTACTATTTTAACGCAACATCCCTAAAAACCTATAGGAATTATAATATGTTTTGATTTTACCCATATGCACAGAATTTAAAAAAATGAAAGGTCAGAAAATGTCTTAGTGATCTCTCAGATAACTGAGAATTTCATAGACGAGTCACAAAAATTTACTAAATCCCACCTTCAAATAGCATTCAAAACTGTTTGCGAATTTTCATCCCTTGAGAAATGAGCTTTAAACTAATCAATACACAAACCACCGAATAAATTGTTAAAACGAACTTTTGTTTAATCAATAACACAAACTTTAGAATCTTTTAAATGCACTGCATCAGAAGAAGGATCTTTTTGTAGTGCTCTACAAATCAGGAATTGTGCTTTTCCTTCCAGTTTAACAACCTACTGAGACATAGTCTTAACATTTTATGCAATGTTGAAAAAAATAAATGATAATTTGTTCAAAAAAAGATGAATAATTGAAAAATAGAAAATGTAAAATAATTAGTTGTTAAAAATTGTTTTTGGTATTGCAATGTGCTTTCAACTCATGTAAATACAATATATTCTATGATAGAAACAGTAATTACACTATAAATGTATGATTCACAGCATGCTATTCTATATTTGTAACAAAATTTGATTTTGAATTAAGTAATATTACTTAATTCAAAATCAAATTCTAATAAGAAGCTAAAGAAAACTTTAAATAAGATTAGGTTAACAGATGACGATAAAATTAATTTAGAAAAGAAACTATACCAACTAAAACTTGCATAATAGCAATACATGTTCACTGAACTAACTTTCTGCTGGTATTAAAGTAGTGTGGTGTTTTGTTCGTTTATCTTATTCAAATGAATAGAACATTTTTTAAAGACCATTACTTTTAAAGTAATCAAAACCTTTTTTCCCATATTGGCTTTAGTGTCCTTCAAAAACTTTGAGTTCAAATATGTATTCATTGTTTCTTTCTGGTTAGCTGATAAAAAAGACCAGGTGGTTGTTCCACAGAAATGGAAAGTAGTTCTGATCATTGAACTATAAAATGATACACTAAATCTTTCCCGCATCTTTTAACTTAAGGACCAGCTGTGCTGGAAAATGTAATGCCATTTCTCTATGGTGCAAAAATTGGACTTTTTGTTACAGTTGGATCTGAGCACGATTGGCCTGTTGTTAGATTATTGTTTAAGCTTGCATAATACCAACCTAGTTGCATCTTCAGCTGAGAACCAGATGGACAAGTGTGATTGACCCGTTAGTCTTAGCCCTACTCTCTTTATCTCCCTGTCTTGCTCATACATACATACACACACACCCACTCTCAACGGGCCACTTGTCGGTACAGAGCCTCTGTATTATTGCCAGCTTAGCTTGTAAAGGCTTAAGCTTCTGGTGACACCCACCTTTTGAAAGCACAAAGGCAGTTCTCTTGGCATAATAACCTTCTGAGTGGTCATCCAATTTCGAATGGAAAGACAAAATGCCTGAAAGGTGGACTTTGATAGCACCAGCTCCTTGTGCAGTTGAAATCGATTTGTATCCATAATGACCATCCTAACCATGCTGAAATGCATCTGTTATGCCTACTGCCAAGGTCACTGAAGAGTATAGATATAAGGAACAAGCTAAATTCAGTCTAGTTTTGAGGGTTTTTTTTATATGTATAGTTAAAAGTGAAAATTAAATTTGGTACATCTATCCAGTTATTGTTTTATTTTTTCGGTAATGATTTCAAACCTAGAAAAATGTAATGTGTGACTTTCAATTCTTTACTGAATATACACTTGTGTGTATACAGTATATAAAACAGATATTTACACAGTTATTTGTAATGTCAGACTTTAAGCATAGGAACTGGGCATTACTTCCAACATTAGTGCACAGATTATTTTCAGAAAATAATCAATTTAAACAAGTATTACCTGAGTAATAAATTACCACCTTCTTTTCTCGTCACGTAAATCAGATATAAGGAGTTAATACCCTACTTTATTTGTAATGCTTCCTTTGTATTGTAATGCATTGCATGTTCTCTTTTGCAGAGGTTAGCTATTCAGCTGATTCTGCTGAGTATTAATTGTAGTTCAGTATTATTCCACATAGATAAAAGTGTCTTAACTGGAATCTGATAATCAGCTCAAAAAGTATTTTGGCCAAGTACTTGGTTAATGTGACTGTACTGTCACCCAGAAATAGAGATGCCAGAATGTGCTAGAAGATCATTTTGTCATAAACTTTTGTATCAGCATGTTAAATGTTTTCCGTAACATAAAGTCTATTAGCACGTATATAAAAGGAATACAGGTCAGCGTTGTTGAAGGTTTTTACATTGTTGATGAATAAGCAAAACCACATCTCACATTAAAACAGATGAGCTGCAAGGTAAGGCAGCTGTTTTTCTCTTGTTAATGTTGGTATAACGTCACCTTTCATGAAAATTAAGCTCAAAACGTAATGTAATTGGATTTCAAAATTAAAGTCTAGAATATAAGGTGATATTTAAAGTGATATGATGTTTATATAAGGTGATTTTGTTTGCCTAAGTCATATCAAGTTTATATTATTCAACAAATACTATAGCACAGTGTCTTTTTAGAAACAGAAATGACACAGGTGAGCCTTTTTTGTTGGGACATTGTCTTAAAGCAGGACGGATTAAAAGAAGATTTTCTCCATGTATAGATTTCTTAAATCTATTTTTGGAGCAGATGAACAGAGCATATGATTCAGTTGATCTGCTCCAACACAGCAGAATTAACATGGTAGAATGCAGCATTTTTGTTTTTGATTGTTTTCACAATGAAACCATACTCAGCTCACCTCCGAATGATCACTGCCTCAGAGCCATTTCGCTCCTGCCCATCTACCCTTATGTTCACATAAGAAAGGCCAAGGATGAAATAAATAATCTGTATATTATAGAATATTATCAACTTGATAACTAGAGAGATGCCACCTTCAGTCTGTGTGAGGATGTATTGTAGCCATTAAAGATGAAAGTTAAAACCAGTGACACTATTGTATTACAGAGCAGTCTATCTGTGCTGATTTAAATGTAATTTAAATCCAGGGTAGGAATTTTAAAATGTTCAAGCTTTTTTCTATTTGCAGTTTACTTTTTGAGAAACTGTATTATTGAATCTTGACCTAATGGTCTCTCTGCTGTGTACAGTGTACTGTATGGTCCACTTCATATAAAGGAAATCTAATAATTACCAAAAAAATCAACTAGACTATTTTCTTTCCTTTCTTCAGTGTGGGTTATTATGTCTGGGACAGTGTAACTCACAACGCAAGAGAGGTGTTTTCCTGAAATGAGATTTCTGCTGAATCTAGGGCTTCAGTGCTGCACACAGCAGTGCTAACCACTGGGCCATCCTGCCACTCAAACACACAGAATTCAAAGTGCAAAACATTTTACCATTGTCCGTCAAAGAGGACATTTTTTAAGAGAGCCTTTCACTTTAAGACATACAGTCATGCAGTAGTTCTAATTTATACAGTACAGTAAATGAATGTGGTAAAGATAGAAACATGTTCAGGTTCAATCAGTAATGCATGCCCTGTTAATAAGAGACTTGAAACTAAATTCCAAAAGCTTAAGTATAATCCTTGCCATATGGACATATATGTAGTGTAAGCCAATGTACATATGTAAGTTTATTTTCCAGAAACTAGCTTACAAATAATCATCTTTTCCATATGTCTTCAAACACCCATTCATACAGTAGATTCTTAGGATTTAGATCTGCCTCCGGAATGGTGTTATTCCTTACAGTTCAATTTTCTTCTTTAACGTTTCATTGTTATCTTTTAAACCCTCGGGTGCGCTTCAGTCTTTGGTTGACTTTAAATGTAAAATTAAAACAACTTAGGCAAACCCAAAAAGCAGTACAATTATAATTGAGTGAATATTTGATGAATGTTTAATTGATTCATTCATTCTTTGGCAGTCATCATGGGCTTTTAGGCTTCAGTAGTAGTAAACGGGAACCATCAGTGCACTAAAGCAATGCCATGAAGCATGACTTCAAACTTGGCTGGTTTTATCACACCCAGAACTGCTTCAGAACAGCACTTCACAGGTTTCAGCCACACGTTTTACACTGACAACAGGTTATCCTCAATGGCGCCACGAATCCCATACTTCTAGCGCCTCTTTTTCAAAACCCGTTAGGCGAGTGAAATCAAACATTGGTATGCATCATGTTTTGTTTGGTTTCTTTGTGGTTTATTAAGGTATTAGTAAACCTGAATTCTTGCTAAAACTGATTTTAGGGGTTTTAAAAATAATACTTTCAGTTAAGGGAAAGATGACAGATATTTTTTTTTCTCTGAAGCTGGAAAGACCATTTATTTAGAAAGACCACTTATTTAGAATCCTCTACTTCCTTCTTCAGTGGAGATGCAATTTAAACAGCTTACACCACAGAGTAATATTGAACTCCCTGAAGGTGGAAATGCAGTCCCAAGAATGGATTTGCAGCCGGAATTAAAATAGTTTCCTCCTGGAAATATTTTTCAAATCCTGGTCATGTTTGAGGTCTGGTCTAAAATGAGACAGACTAGTGCTGATATGGGAGAAACCTCTTGGCCCCCATGTCCCTCTGGGATTGAAAACAAAGGGCATAGACCAAGTGTGTCAAGTTTTATTATCCCAGATCAAACAATGCATGATGGGGATCTGTACTCTTCTCAATCATCTGTAAAGGAAATAGGTAATAGTTGTGGGCTAGGTGGGTATGGAAAATACTTTATTGATCTGTCACCTAGCTTTTGGGATGGAATAATCTACATTGCCATCTTTTTTTTAAATCGAAGTTCTTCCTATTACCCCTCAGTTTGATGCATCTACAATCCTTTCATTTTTAGTTACGTTTTTATGCTAGCTTGAGAATACATTATTCTAGCTGTTTAGCACAGTTCATGACATTAGCACTTGAAATCTGTAATAAATAAATCCATATTTCTAGTAACTGAGCATAAGATGGTCTCATCAAATATAGAATCGCATTACATGTTATATACATTTTGTCATAAGAACCTTTCATAAATGAGGCCCTATATTTACTAGATATACAGCTTCATAAGAGAAGACCTCAAAAGGAAAAAAGCATCACATTTTAAGCGGTGATAGTTTCATTTGATACATTTGTGTAATCTGACCTTGGTTCATTTTTTTCCTTTGTCCCCTTCAAGGTTCATGGCTCAGTAGGAGAACCTTGGTGGATCTGGGTTGAGGATCCTACAAATGACCACATTTACCATTCAGAATATTTTCTTCTACAGAAGAAGCAGGTATGGTTTTTGAGTATGAGTCTTTTAATCTCTCAAGTTCTGATTGTGTGTTTTTGGTATTTATTTTCCTGTTGCTGATTTAAGGCATTGTAGATTTCATTGTACAGTAAGTGTAAGTACTAGCTGAGGTTTAAGTTCCTGTGTTTCCTTTCAGGGGTTAAGAGGATGTAATTGTAAAGGGGAATTCATAACTTGAATTTTAGCTTGTCTATTTTTTTATGTAGCGATCCCCATTTGTTTTCTGTGAGGATGTAAAGTCTTTATCCTTTTATGTTTTTTCCAGGTTGTGATCCATGAGCCCCAGCAGTTGGTGTTCACTATTCCAATATTTGAACCCCTGCCTTCCCAGTACTACATACGTGCTGTTTCTGACAGGTGGCTTGGAGCAGAGGCTGTGTGCATTATCAACTTCCAGCATCTCATACTACCAGAGAGGCACCCACCACACACAGGTAATACTGCAGCTAAGTTTTTAAAGGTCATTTTGAAATGAGGTACTCTACAATGTCAGGAAAAATAATCTATCTTAATATTCTATATTAATCCTGAGAAAAATGCATTAATCAATCTTATTAGTATCATTAATGCATGTGTAATACACAACAAACATATTTTCAGTTCCATTGATTTTTGCATTAGATGTTGTTATTGAAAGTAATTTCAGAATCGCATGTTGCAGGTGGAATGGTGCAATGGGTGATTAGCCATTTTTGTTTCTGGGAGAACATTATTTATAATAGTTTGACTGTGTAGTAAGAGTGCTTTTTGGCATATAAAATCTTTTACTAGTCCATTATGTGTATACTAACTATATATTATAATCAATTACCATAAAAAGAACGCGTATTTTGTCTTGTTGTTTCACCCCTTTCTTTGCTGTGCTTTGAGAAATATATATTCAGTGTGATATACGTTTTGGTAATGTTCCTGCTCAACAATATCAATTGGCAAGGTTTCTCATTGGAATATGCAAAATGTGCATTCAGACATTCCATGAGTGGATACTACTTGAAAACTCTTTTTATGCTTTGGACTGCAGTTATTTTTACATCATGGAAGCACTCCTATGTGTTGTGAGAATGTTTTTCATGTCATTGAGACTTTCTTAATGCTTTAATCCCCCTTAATCTCTGAGTGGTTTCTCGTTTTTCCATTTTATTTATGAAGTATTAATTTGTTATTCTACCATTGCAGAACTGCTGGATCTGCAGCCTCTGCCAGTCACTGCCTTGGAGAGCCGAGAGTACGAGAGCCTGTATAAATTCACACATTTCAACCCCATTCAGACGCAGATTTTCCACACCCTCTATCACACTGACACAAATGTCCTACTTGGAGCTCCCACAGGCTCTGGGAAGACGGTGGCTGCTGAAATGGCAATCTTCAGGGTCTTTAACAAGTACCCTGCATCCAAGGTGTGTACGTGGTCTCACATGGAGTCTAAAGCTAAAAAAAACAAATCTCAGTTTATAGCCACAGTATTGTTTGCCAATATCTACACGATGAGTGTTGTAGAAATACAACCAATGTATTTCTTCAACTGGACTGGGTACATATTAGTGTGAAAACGTACAGACAAATACTGGTAATATTTCAAGCCATCTCTCTTTGGCTTTAAAGGATCGTGTTGACCTAATGTTAGATAAAAACCTATTAAACTTTATTTTTAGGCACAGGTTAGCATGCCTTCTCTGTTGTTTTGATGGATTAATAAGGTTTTCTTCTAAAGTTTTCCAAAAGGAATTTGTCTTCTCTCATTTAAAGGCAGTGTACATTGCTCCTTTAAAAGCACTGGTCCGTGAAAGGATAGATGACTGGAAGATCAGGATAGAAGAAAAGTTGGGAAAAAAGTAAGTAAAATCCTCCATGTGAAAAGATGGAATGCTTAATAATTACATGCTTCTTTGTATACACAATGTTGAGGCAGGCATTTTTTTCTTGCTTATGTGGATCTCATTAAAGCTACAGTTTCTGCTGGCCCTCCCTGTGTTTTCCACCTGTTCGCAATTATTGGTGCTAATGCAGTTTCTCTAAGCGGAAAATTGCAAGCAAAGATTTCAAATGATCGATTACTGCAGCTGAAGAGGAAGACCATAAAAATCTACAGAAGCTTGAGACTGTGGCTTTGCTGGTGGCGTCTTTGGAAAAGGGTCCCAGGGACAGGGCAGTGACATGTGGGCTGTTCTTCTCAGGGTGGTGGAACTGACGGGGGACGTCACGCCAGACATGAGAGCTATCGCGCAGGCAGACCTCATTGTCACCACCCCAGAGAAATGGGACGGCGTCAGCAGGAGCTGGCAGAACAGGAGCTACGTCCAGAAAGTCGCCATTCTTGTCATCGACGAGATTCATTTACTGGGTGTGTTGCTGCCGGAAACAGATCGTCTCTTCATTCAGGAGCTGTCTGTCACTATTCACATGAGTGAGATAGCTTATGTAGCACTTCATTTACTCTGAAGAAGAAAATGGAACATTTAGTAACACCTTAAAGTTAATTCGAATTAAATGCAAGGTAATCCGTAAAACGTGACTGAACACGGTTTTCATGCTCCTCCTCTGAATGCTGCATGTCCCACCTCCACTTGTATACAGGATGCAGTCTGTGGTCTGTTAATGCTGTGGCTGAAAAAGATATACAAAATGTAGTGAACTAATAATTTTAGCTAGACTTGAATTTTCCTTAGCACCAAGAGGAAATGGGATGTAGTTAGACGAACAGGTGAGACTGACCTAATTTTTGTGGTATTGATAAGGGTGGACAGCAGTCACATGATGTTTTGGAGTCATTTTACCACAGCAGATGTACTGTAGTACTTTTATAAATGAGCAATATCGTACCACTCTTTAAAGAGAAAATCAAAAATTAATGTTTCAACATGAATTTCAAATTCAAATTTGATCTCTGAGAAGCAGTTTGATATTTATCTTAGTATGTCATTTGCCACTCACATACTGATGATGGTGATTGGTGATTTCAACACTTTTAAGACACTTTTAAGAAAAATATACGTACTTATGTATATGTTTTTCAGTGAAATAATAAAAATTATCTAGAGTTTGTGGTTATTTTTAATGTGTTTAGTTTTGACACATTCGTGTTACAGTATGCACATACACACCTACATGTTATGACATACATAAGTTCCTTTGTTAGGTAGGGATAAAAAAAAACTTGCACACCAATCATGTTTTCAAATTATTTAATTGTATGTGTGAATATTTTAATTGAGACAATAGATGAACAGTAGATTAACAATAGCATATTCTAGCAAAGTTATTTTTCAGTCACCTCTAGGATTTAAGCTTTGCCTATATTTTATAGGTAATGTGACAATGAAATTTACTGCTCTTTATAGATATTGTTTAAAATGCATTATACCTTTAACAGTATTATAATGATAGGCTGTACTGTACATGTATTTAAAGCAGCAGAACATATATGTATTCAATTCTTTTATATTGTTTAGGTATGCAGTGAATTGTGTCTAAATAATTTGCACACATTTCCCATGTGTTTCATTTTATCTTGAGCAACGTCATGCTGCAACACTCAGGAAGTTGACTTTAGGAAATTATTTTTTAGAGCTGGCAAATGACCCTTATAGTGCATCCAGGCTAAACCTAAATTACCAACAAAAAGGAAAACAAGTTTTGAAAGTGCACAGTCAATATCTTAGGCTGAATCACTGTACTTAGTCGTATAGTGCTCTGTCAAAGGCTTAAGCTGAAGCTTCAATACTTGATAACACATAATGTTGACAGACAGTTTTCACATTTTTTTACAGGGGAAGACAGAGGTCCAGTACTTGAAGTCATTGTATCAAGGACAAACTTTATCTCCTCTCACACTGCCAAGCCTGTGAGGGTTGTGGGACTTTCAACAGCACTTGCCAATGCTAGAGACTTAGCAGACTGGCTGGGAATCAGACAGGTACTCTCATAGCACAACCACTTCACCATCATATGGGTTACAAGTGCTACTTACAAATTCAATAAAAATGCATTAAAGTGACATTTCCAGAGGCTTGTAAATAATTTGAATTGGTAGTACTGTGTATATTATGATGTAATTAGATAATGTAGTCTTTAAAGAAATGGATGGTCATGAATATTATCAAGGATTATTTTTTAGTTTTGTTTTTCCTTCACGCATGTCATAGGTTTGTATAACTGATGCTGGAGAAGATCATTGATTTCTATAGCGTTGCTGTGAAATGTGATTCTGATGTATTCAGCTGCACTTTTTATATATATAATAATTACACAACCAAGCAAATGTCTTTAACAATGTGGACATTGTGTTTCTTTGAAAAAGTCTCACTGCAGCCATTTTTTGTTTCGCTGTAGCCAATAACATAAAAGTGATGGTGAACTAAAAATGCTTTTAACATATTATTTGGATTTTAAGAGAGAATTTAGTTCTGTGTAGGATTTCCCTGGATTGTTTTTTTTTTCTGTCTTTTGAAGTCATTGTCTGACTCCCATAGTTTCTATAAAAGATACTATATAGTCCTCTTCTCTGGCAAACGGATTGCTTGGGCTGTTCTTCAATATTCCTATTGCCGTTTTCCTCATTGCCCTGACTAGATTTGTTAATAAATCTTAGCTGAGCTGTTTATATTAGGACATTTTGTTTAGCCACCCCATCCATTATATAGGCCGTTAAATATGCACACACACGCACCTCCAAGAAAACAACACTTCTAAGAAAATGACATCTCAGGAGAAGACATTAAAGAGGAATAATTAAACTCAACTGGGACAAGCCCTATTGTAGTTGAATGCTCACATTTTTTATATTGGGTCATCATGTCATTTTAACAGATATATTAAAATAATTGCTAATATGTAGTACATTAAGCAAGTACTTATTCCTTAAGAGAACAAATCTCAGTAGGTATCAAAGACCTATCTGCTATCAAAGCCATTTTTCCTTGTTTTGTTTCAATTGTTTTATATCATATAACCATTACCGAGCCTCATTTCTTTCCAGATGGGATTGTTCAACTTCCGTCCATCTGTACGCCCAGTTCCACTGGAAGTGCACATTCATGGCTACCCCGGACAGCACTACTGTCCTCGCATGGCAAGCATGAACAAGCCAGCTTTTCAAGGTAAACCTTTACATGCTCAGATTTTATTTACTTTTGCATTCCATTTGAAATAATTATGACAAAAGCAATCCTTGTGAATCCTTCTTAAGTTACGTGCCCTACTGAGTTACATACACAGGTTTTAACCCCTACCTTTAACAAGGTTAATCATATCCTAGTTTCACTACTGGTCCTATGGAGTTAAAACAGGGATCTAAAATTAAGCATGAGTGAACTTAACTGATACTTTGAAAGTGTATAGAATTTGACTTTGAAAATAATTTGTTAAAGAAACATCAGATTCAGAAATGCAGACGTTCTACAGAAGATGTAATACATACATGTACAAAATAGAAAAATAAGTAAATTCATAAAGTCATTTCCTCATTACAAAATTAATAAATTAAACACCATACTTTTCCAGCTGCCAATTCATCTGTAATTCGTATATCTTATTATTTAAATTAGGTTATTGTACCCAATTGTATAAATAAAACAATTTAATTAATTAATGGTTAATGCAATAGCTATGTAAAATGTAAAAATTGTATACTTAGAAATACTAGTATGCAAATATCTGTACACCATTTTAATTAATTATCCAAAGAATTCCAGAGATCCACCCCACAAACGTAGATCCGCATACATTTTATCTTAGCATGAATATGATCTTTGTTACCTTTCCTTCTAATTTGATATGTTCTATGGATATTGTCAGGGGTTCGGTTCAGTGAGGACAATGAGAATAAACTATAAACAGCTGAAATATTTTAAGAAAAACTGCCTTAAAAATCAATCAGTGGATATTTAATAAAAATAAGATACCTTTTCTACTCTTTTGATTTTCTTTATTACAGTATTTGAAAAGAGCTGTGAAATTATGAATAAATTTGGTTTTACATGTATTTATATCGTATATTTATGTATTGAAGAACACAGTACAACAAATACTCATCCAAAAAATGATAAATACGATTCTAAACCAGTTGGACCTGAAAAATATGCAAGTGCTTTTTTTTTTGGTGCAGAGAAATGGATACAGGATAAAAGGGATTTTTAAAGGAATGAGTCAAACTAATACAATCTAAGCACATTAAATTAAATAAAGTGTTGTATTTGAAATTTTGAAACATTGTTTGAATTGACACTTAACCATCAAAGTCTTGTTATAGAAGGCAAACTGATTTATGGATTAGCTATTTATGCTGGAGTGACTTGGCTTTGCCTAACTTAAATCTTGAAACAAAAATTTGTGCTTTTAAAAAAGAAACAGTAGCTGGGACATTGGGATGAAAAATTATAAGAAAAATTATAATCTCTTTAGTCTGATTGGCTATAATACATGACTTATGTGCCAAAACTGTTGTACATTTTTAATAAAAATAATTTAATGAAAACCAAATCCATCCACTGAAGGCAGTGGCCTAGGCTGACCAGACCAAGAGCAGTGCACCCAATCCAATGGTCAGCACGCTGAGTAGGATCCACATTAATTCATTATGAAGGTTCATAATTATTAAGGAAATTATAGTAAGGGTGTACAGCATGGAATCAATGAATGATAAAAAATAAGCAATGGGGGCTGATTTGAAAAATTGAAAGCAATTGAAAAAAATGTAATCATTTTCATTAATATACAACTTGAACAGTTTGGAAACAATTAATCTTCTAGTCTTCTATAGATACTGTACGTATGGAATACCACAAAGCACAATACATTTACCAATGATATCTAACATATAAACAGATTTTTTGGAGAACTGAGAGAGTAAGGACACAGGCCTTTACTTCGTAAAATAAACATCTGTTATTTATTACATTTCCTTAATGTTTCAAATTAACTTTAATTTCAATTTTATGTGGCAATATCTTTGTTTAAAAAGACTGTTTATCAACACATGTAAGTGAAACTTTTTGTACAGTTAGCTTGTAAATTCCACAAATTGGATATATTAATTTTAGAATTGTAATAATAATTTACCTTCAACTCATCCAAAGAAACACAGTTTTACCTAAATTATGATTTATACAAAGTGCAATCATAGTTTTTTCATGGGAATATACAGTATAATCCATATTTAACAAAAATATTAAAATAATTTAAATGTAATGTAAATCTGGTGGCTTTTTAATAACACTGTTAAAGACAACCCATTGTTTTTATGTTCCAATAATTCTTCTTTCTTGCATTTCTGAAGTACTACATAATGTATTGTTAATGAACTACATGATTTGCAGAGTGGATTTTTATATTATTTATACTTTATATATATATTATAAAGAATAGTATAATTTATCTTAATTTATGGTTGTTGAAGTCCAGTATCCATCACTTTTACCTCATATTGTTCATAGTTCATCAAAATCTCAACTATATCTTTATTTTACAGTTAAATATATAGATTAGGCAGCTTTAGAACCAATTTTGTAATCCCGATTTGGATTTAAAAGAAACTATAGTGAGCTCCAAGCAGTGAGGTGCTTCTCTGAAAATAATTCTCTGATAATGTTCAATTTCTTCTTTTTAACAACTGCACATGAGACACTTCACTGGCGGTGAGACTGAGCCATCCTGGCAGTTCTCATGAATCATTTCTTCACAGTGGCAGCTTACAAAACCACTAATGAACAATAAATGTACCCAGGGCTTCTTAGGCTCACCTGTTTTAAGAGTGCATAGCAAGCAGCAAAATAGAAACTGTTGTTTTATTTCACAGCAATCCGCAGTCATTCCCCTGCCAAGCCTGTGCTGATCTTTGTGTCATCCAGACGTCAAACTCGACTTACAGCTCTTGATTTAATTGCTTTCCTGGCCACAGAGGATGACCCCAAACAGTGGCTGCACATGGATGAGAGAGAGGTTTGTACAATGTCCATTTTTAAATCATCTCTGTTACACAAACAGTACAAGGAGGTTGTAAAATCATTTGTAGTTTTTAAAATGTTGTTTCGCTGTGCACATGGATGCTTTAAATTTAGATTTTGAAACAAAAAAACATTAGATCACTTTGTAATGGGCACAGCAATAACGATTGAGCTGAACTCAATTTGAATTATATATAATATGTTATAATAATATATATAATCATATACTGTATAATGTTTTAAGCTGGAACAACAAAATGAAACATTCTTAGTGTGCACAGAGTGATAAAGAGTAGTGTTGGGTGTCTTAACGCTGCTACTCATGTTTTCAATACGCAGACTTCTATAACAAAACAAAGTCAATTCCACCTTAAAAAAGAGAGAATGTTTTTCTTTGGAGCTTTTTCAAGCTTGAGAGAGAACCGAATATATATTCAATAAAATTGTTTTTCTGCTCCTTCCCAACACTCCCTCTATGCTCCACACAGCTGAAGGAGGCTCTAGAGCAAAAAATGTTAGTTCTTTTTTTACATGGAATAGACGTCTGCTTTTTCCCATGCAGTTCCTCACTTTACATGTTCTGTTGAAATGTTCTTCCTTTGACACCTGTTTGGGGTTGTGGTAATCATTGGCAATGTCACAAAAGACAGTAACTTCCTTTTGCTTCTGGCAGCTTGGAGTCAGATGCTTCATTCTTAGTGTTTTAGCTCATTGATATTCTGTAGGTCTGGGATACAGATTTTCATATATCCAGAGTTTACTTGTTCCTTGGTCTCTTTTTTGATCTTGAGGTTCTCCTCAGACATCCGTCTCTAGTGTATTCACTCTCTCTAATTCTACTGTGGTTCCGGGTTGGTCTTAGATGGATATTTGACCTGGGTATCCTTGGTTTGACATGCAGCTGCAATCTTTATGGCTCTGCAGACAAGCTATGCGAGCTTGCACCGTTATGACTAAAAGCTACGTCTGTCCCTTCATGGAATAAGTAAACTTTTATTCCATGCTGAAAAGAGAAGAAAAATAACATCATGTTTCGGCTGTGGAGTCACCGAAACATTGTGTTACTTTTGTTCTCTTTTCAGCATGGAATAAACCTTTACGTATTCCTTTGTAGCCTACACATGCTGACGCAGCTACCTACTTGAACTACTTGTGTGCTTTCTATATTACTTAAGCTTTGCTGTTGATGCAGTATGATCACAGTATGACAGTATAACAAACAGGTGGCCTGGGGGTGCATATATCAGAGTCCTACTGTTAATATTGTGGTGATGATATTAGTGTAATTCGTTTTTTATTTCAACTTAGGGACCTATGAGGTAGTGTGAGAAAGCTATGTGAGGACACTCCAAGCCAAATTATGCGACCTTCAGCCAAGATGGTCAAACTGATCTGAGTGAGTTTTTAGCTCTCTAAGGAAGTGAGATTACACATAAGGAAAATGCGCTATCAGCAGATGCTCTCTGTAGAATTAGCCACTCCTCTGGGCTGACTAAGAGTCTAATAAAGCCCATTTGAACAGAATGTGTTTGAGTCTGTGTCTAGGCTGCAGCTTGGAAGGAAAGAGAGTGATAGCTCCAGGAGAGAATCCTTACTGGTGATGGATCAGGCAGGCTTACAAGCCTGTGGAAAACGGTGAGCTAGGAACACTTGAAAAGATATAGCTTAGGATATACTGAGGGGTGTCACAGAGTCTGGACAGGGAGGATGTGTGGAGTTTATGCACCAAGTTCAAGAGGATACACTGCACTCCCATGGACACAAGGCATTAGTACTGATGGAACAGGACAGCGTTTCTTCTCGCCAAAGCGGTGAGACAGAGGATTCTAGATGGCACAAACTCAAGCACTCCAATATCTGCTGAGAGATTGGCGGTCACTAAGAGCATAAGGAAACAACAAACTGCATGTTACTGTGACAGGGACGCAAGTGTTTGTTATGGCGTCCCTGGCCAAACAGGATTTTCCAGGATGGTTGGAAAGAAAGTTTTCATAATGAGTTAGAATGATTTGATCACTGTGTAGGAGAGACAATAGTAAGAGAAAATGTATATACTTTGCATGTGAAATCTGTATACTGGTATGTACACATATGTAAGTATATAAGAATAGAGATGGACAACACAAAAAAGCTAAGGTGGCATGCTGGAGCATAAGGAATTTGGATAGTCTGGTGAATTAAAGGTCGGTGTTAGAAGAGGGCCCTTAAGACAACAAATGTAAAACTACAAGCAATTTTGATGACTTGTTCCATTGGCATGAAATACTATAATAAAGCAACATAACTAAGATTTCTGTAGAAAGGATGTTAGTTAAATAGAACAATTAATATTGTTTTTTCATTGGCAACATACTTATCAAATACGTTTGAATTGCAGAAATGAAATTATTTGTATTATTTTTAGTGAGAAATAGCCAACACAAAATCCTTACAAAAATCTGCATGTTCAAATGTACATGAAATGTAGTTCAGCAAATTTAAAGCTTATATATCATTT